GAAGAGGAAGAAGAAGAGGAAGAAGAGGAAGAAGAAGAGGAAGAAGAACAGGAGGAAGAAGAGGAAGAAGAAGAATGGATTAGTGCAGGGAAACCAATTGGGAAGTTATTGAAATACTCTTGGCCAGGGGTGGGGAACCTGGGGCCTTCTAGGTCCTTGGGTGCAGCCTTTTCACTAAGTCCAAGTTTTACAGAACAAATCCTTTTATTAAGGGGATCTGTTCTGTGAAGTTTGGATTCAATCAAAAGGCTACATTTGAAGACCCAGAGGGCCACATATGACCTCGAAGCAGCAGGTTCCACACCCCTGCAGTCTAGGCAAAAGATGATGAGGGCCTGAACCAAAGTGACTGATGATCATGAGTGGAGAGAAGACAAATGGAGGAGATGTCATGGAAATAGTACTGATAAGAAGGTCCAAAAGCAAGAAGTTCCAAGAATGACACTGAGGGTCATGGCTAACATGGCTAACTGAAAAGAGGATACATTCTGCAGACATACAGAGCGTTGAAGGAGGGAGGGGGCTCTGTTTTGGACATACTGACCTTGATGGACTACTAAGACATCTAGACAGAAATGTCAATAACTCAACAAACATTTATTAAGTGCATTCTACGTGCAAGGAACTGTGGTAGACATTAGGAGTAAGTACAAAGAATTAAACGACCTCTGCTGACAATGACCTGCAGGTTCTCTCCGCCTCCCCCTCCTTTGCACTATTCTTTTTTGGAGAATCCCACCATTACAGACACAGAGCTAGAAGGAACCTCAGAGCCGTTACCACCAACCTAGTAAAGATGCTGATGACTGCCCAGCTAGACAACAGCAATAACCTTAACAAGTCTTCTTGCTTCAACCACTGACCCTTCACAATCTCCCTTCCATACCTCCACCAACACCATCTTCTGCATAAATCTTGTAGAATGTCTTGGCTCAAAAAAAATTCAGTGGTTCACCATTACCTACAGAGTCATGTTCAAGGTCCTCTGCCTACCATTCAAAACATTCCACAAAGACCCTCCTCTCCCCTCTTTCTAACCTTATCTCTTATTACTCTACTTCCTGTTCTCCATGCCCCAAAAGGGACAAACCTCTGTCACCCAAACATCCCCTCAATCTTCCATACTTTTCATCCTTTGCTCATGCTGTCCCTATGCCTGGAATAACTTTCTATCTATCTTTTAAAGCAGAAGTTCATTACCTTCTTTGGGCCATGGTGTCCTCTAGAAGACTAGCAAAGCCTGGGCCACCCCACACCCCCATGATGTTTTTTTAAATATATAAAATAAAATACACAGGATATCCTGAAATACGGTTATTAAAATACTTTAAAAAAACAAAGTCACTGATACTAACAGGTTACGAACCTTTGTGTGAAAGCTCACCTTGAATGCCACCATATCCCAGAGGATTCCCCTGGGTAATCAAGATCTCCTCTTCGATCTCATCTGACAATCAACTTGTCCGTACTTCTGTAATAAACTTGTGCCAAACTATGGATCAGAATTTGGTATCCTTTTCTAAACTTTTGTAAACATGTTTAAATACATAGAACCTCTTCCTTTTCACAACTCAATACAAACAGCAACTCACACCCCAAGGATTTACTCTGTACATTTATTTGTTGCATATAAGAGCACTCTAATTGCTTAATAATGTAATCAATACTAAATGTCAGAACAGAATAGAAGAATGGCTTTGGAATGGTTGGAAATCCAACACAAACAAAAAGAACTACTTTAGTCCTGGAATGTGTAAGCCTCCACAGAGGGAGAGGGTCTCATACTTACTGCTGCCCAGAGCCCAGCATACTTTCTACACACAATACCCCATGGACTACAAACACCTACATTCATTTTTGCCTTCTAAAAAGCTTATTGTGAGCTTCAAGACAGGGACCTTGTCTTAACTTTGTATATATACTATGCACACTTCTTAAAATTAAATATTTGTTGAACTGAAAAGTAAATTGAATTAGCAAAAAGTATATTCATTCCTTGAAAAAAAATTTACTTTAAATGTAAAGTGAAATTTTTTATCTCAAATGCTGATAACCAGGTCACCAAAAGTTTGTTTTCTTCTGTGCTACTGGCAGATACATGTGTATCTGGCTGGTTTAGGGAAGCCCTTTTCTAAGAAGGACCTGGGAAAACCATGAGGTTTCCAAACCCCGGCCCCGAACTTCTGCCATGCATCAGTGTGAAGAAAATGCTTGGCAAATAAGCACACAACACATGAATTATTACTTTTGTTATTGAGAAATAATGATATTGTGTTCATAGCAAGCCTGAACTTTGGACTTCTGAGAAAACAGCCACAAACTTTTATCACCTAAGAGAGATCAGCTATTTTAATGTCTTCTTTTTCTGAAGGAATTGACAACCAGAGAACCAAACCAGGGGACAGAGCTGAGCTAAAAGAACCCAAGTCTAGAACAAGCCCCTTGGTACACTGGTAACTGCTGTCTTGGCTTTTCTCTCCTCTCCCAGCAGGTTTCTCATCTGTAAAAGAGTGATGATTAGATTGGCACTCTCCATCTCACAGGATCAAATGAGATCTTGTGAAATACTCTGTGAACCATAACTATGCAAATTCAATCTATTATTATTATAACTATGTCCTCTACACCGCAGCCGGGTGGCACAGTGGATAGAATGCCAGCCTCGAGTCAGGAAGACTCATCTTCCCGAGTTCAAATCTGACCCTGGGCAAGTCACTTTACCGTTTGCCTCAGTTTCCTCATCTGTAAAATAAGCTGGAGAAGAAGATGGCAAACCACTCCAGTATCTTTGTCAAGAAAACCCCAAATGGGGTCACAATGAGTCAAACACAACTGAAACAACTCAACAACAACAAACATTCTCCACACTGCCAACTCAAATATTTTAAACACGGTTTTTAATTGTAGGCCTGAATACTTCTCCAATAAAGTAAACTGCCTGCCTGCAAAGCAAAGCAAAATGTAGCTGAAAAGCTGGAGAAAAGGAAAATGCCAAATGCTGAAGGGGATGTGAAAAAACAGGGATACTAATGCACTGTTGGAGCTGGTTCAACCATTCTGGAAATCAATTTGGAACTATGCCCAAAGGGCTATAAACTGGGTATATGCTTTGACCCAGAGATATCACTACTAGATCTATATCCCAAAGGGATCAAAGAAAAGGGAAAAGGACCTATATATACAAAAATATTTATAGCAACTCTTTCTGTGGTGGCAAAGAATTGGAAACTGAGGGAATGACCATCAACTGGGAAATGGCTGAACAAGTTGTGGCTGAACAAGCATAAGATTGTGATGGAAACTATTGTGCTATAAGAAATGATGAAGGGGATAGTTTCAGAAAAACCTGGAAAAACTTATATAAACTGATACAAAGTAAAGTGAGGAAAACCAGAAGAACATTGTATACAGTAACAACAATAGAGTACCAGTGGAACAGCTGTGACTTAGCTATTCTGATCAAGACATGATCCAAGATAACTCCTAAGAACTCATGATGAAAAATGCTATCTACCTCCAGAGAACTGATAAAATCTTGAATTTATATTGAAACACTTTTTTCACTTTATTTTTGTCCTTTTTTTTTTCAACATGGCTAATATGGAAATATGTTTCGAATTCTTTCACATGTATAATTGATATATTACTTGCCTTCTCAATGTGTGAGGGAAGGCTGGAGGAGAGAATTTGGAACTCAATGTTAAAAATATGTAATAATTTTTTTTTTTGTTTTTTTTCCCCCCCAAGGCAACTGAGGTTAAATGACTTGCCCAGGGTCACACAGCGAGTAAGTGTCAAGTGTTTGGTCTGAGGCTGCATTCGAACTCAGGTCCTCCCTCCTGACTTCAGGGCCAGTGCTCTATCCACTGCGCCACCTAGCTGTCCTTGTAATAATTTTTTTTTTAAAAAGAGGAGCCTGACTCAAAGGTTCCTCAAAATTCCCCACTGCTTGAGCTCTCTCCAACTTTCACTACGTGCACTTTTTCAGTCAGCTACGTTAGGCATAGGTGCGCAAACCAGCAGGGGCACGGAAAGCTGTTTCCTCTCTATTCTTACAGCAAACACGGTCTTGGAAGATCACGTGTCTACAGTACTGGAGTAGCCAGTTCTACCTCCCCTCTCCTGCAAGCCACTGCTTAAACATCTCCAATGACTCCCTACTACCTTCAGAACACAGTAAAATAGTCCTCCCTCGCATTCAAGGGCCACCACAACCTGCAACACTCAAATACTCCAGCCTCACTTCATACCACCCGCCCTCACCATTTGATAATTTAGTCACATTGAACAATTAATTCCGTGCTCTTTCCTCCTCCATGCCTTTGATCAGTGTTCTCTGTGCCTGAGATGCCTTCTTTCTTTCTTTTTGTCTACTAAATTCCTACCTTTAACAAGCAACTAAAATATCACCTCCTTAAAGAAGCCTTTCCTTACTCCCATGTGCCCCTTTAGTCTTTTAAGTCTCACTCAGCATTCTTAGTGCATTCATTGTGTAAAGTGCTATATTATAGCTCTGGGTTGGCATCTTAGCCCCTTTTCCTCATTAAACCATAAGCTCACTGAGAGCAGGAATTCTGTCTTATATTAACTTAAATCTGTCTCCTGGAAGCAGCAGAATGTTCTCCACATAGTATGCATTTAATAGATGTTTGTTGCATTTTTTTCCCCCATTTCTGCACTGCACTTCTCTGGAGCTCATCATGCCCTAGAACTTCATTCTGCAGGATCGTATCAGCACTAAGACTGCACTTCATCAACACCCTCTTCCCACGGAATGAAGAAGGTGAACAGAGATGGAGCGCACTCCCAGAACCACCACTGAAGGACAGCCCCCAGGCTATTTCCCATTTGGCTATACTCCATTAGACTTCTCCATCAACCTGTCCTCCCTGCCAAGTGGTACCTCGCCCTTCTAATCCCTTCAGCATCCTTTTTTATGTTGTCTCCCAAGCTAGATTGTAAGCTCTTTGAAGGCAGAGTTTGTCTTTTCATATGTTATCCCCAGCACTTAGCACAGTGCCTGGCACATAATAGATGCTTAATAAATGTTTACTAAGCGACCAAATATAATTCCAGGGGACCACAAGGAGGCACAATGCTTCACCTACTGACAGAGAGGTGACTGAATGAAGGTAGAGAATAAATGTTTGTTAATTGGGGAATTTTTTAAGTGGGTAAAGGCAATGGAGAGATCGTAGAAATCAGCCTTCTCTCTCAAGGAAGGGAAGGAGGGATAGGAGGGACTTATACCAGCTACTGAGTGATATAAAGTGGACATAAGCCAATAATTTCTAACTGACCAGTAGGGAACCTATCTTAAAACAAAGTATATCTGTTCAGTGGCTCAGACACTGGGAATGATTTATGTAACACACTTACTGCATCATATAAAGAACCACTGATATCAGCTCCATAAATCGGTGATACAAAAGTCAGGTTCTTCCAGTATTTACGCTCCAGATCTTCAAAATCTTGGTGTCGAGGAGTACAATACCTAATGAAATAGAACCAATAAGAGAATCATCAAGTCTCAAAGCTGTCTCTGTCTTCAATACCATCCATCTGTGATTTCATTCCCACATATGCTGCTGAAAGTAACCCTTTAGGAATCCATAAGCTGAATTTGCAAATTACTGCTCCAAAAGGCCTCAATTCTCCCTGACAAAGCTATCGTCATGTCCGATCAGAGGATTCTCATGTTTGCTAGTAGACAGATGGGCAAGACCAGACTGCTGCCAACACAGTCTCGGGCAGGATATGCCATTGGGACTTATACCACACAGGCTTCATGATAAAGAAGCAAAAACTCTGAGATTTGCCTTAGAGATCCTGAGTTCATATTCTGACCCAGCTGTTTAGTACCAGTGTGACCCTGACATGTCACATGGTCTCTCAGGGACTCTGTTTGCTCATCTATACAGTGAGGGATTGAACAAGATGACTTCAAAGAGCCTCTTCCAGTGCTAAATGCTATGGTCCTATGACCTATGCAAAGCTCCCAACCAGTACCAGAACCCCTTGCACAACATCACTGACAAGTGATCATTAAGCTTCTCCCTGAACATTTCCAGTGATGGAGAGCTCATTATTTTTCGAAGAAATCCATTCTAAGTAAACTTTGTTGGATAGTTGTTAGAAAGTTCCACCTAACCTCCGCCCTTTGGAGCTTCACTACATCTGCTCTTTCTACAGGATACACCTTCAAATATCAGAATATAGAATAATTTTGTTCAATTCCATCATGATGAAGATCAAAGCAATAATACATTCTGAGCCTTGGTCAGAGAAATGAAACACAACGCATGAATTCAATGTCCTCTCTTTTTCTATGATTTAATCATAGCCACCAAGTAATAAAAGTGCCTCATCATGTTGGAAATGTTCTCTCCTTTCTCAAAGACTACGCTAACAGAGCACAAGTTCTGCTAGAAAATAGGCTTTTTTTTTTCCACCCATCACCCAAAGACCAGCCTGGATAAATAGAAAATTAACTGGGAAGAGAAGGAATTCCCCACAACTCTCCTCTCTCACCCTATCCTCCACCAATTCATAAACAACATCAGTTAAAAAGGGCCCACACTGATGAAATCATAAATCTTTTGAAGAAAGAGTACTATTGAGTCAGGCTTGACAAAAGTACTCTCATAGAAAGGGAAGAAAACTATCATCACCATAAAACCTGAGAGTTGGAAAAGACCTCTCTCCTCAAGAAGATTCTGTTTCACAGCATTCTGACAAACTGTCACTCAGCCTCTGGATACTTCTAGAGAGTGTCAAGTCATAAAGACAAATCAGAGCAAAAATTATTAACATAAACTGCCCACTTGTTAAGGGCACAACACATTATCTCTTGGGAATAACAATCCTGACATGTTGTCACTCCATGATGATAAGGAGGAGGAGAAGAAGGATAACAACATTTATATAATTCCCTACCCATACTGAAGTCCAGGTGGAATAAGTAACTTTCCCAAAGCCACACAGGAAGTATGCACCAGAGTGGGGATTTGAACTCATCCCATCCAGCCCTAAAATTTGGGGGTTCACGTTCAGTTAATGAAGACAAAACAATCACATTTGGCTACAGAGGAGTAACACTGTTTCCGTGCAACTCAAAGAAAAGGGAAATCCTCACAATAAATCTCTGGGCTGGTTAACATACTTTTCACTGTTGGCCAAGCGTCGATAATCTCCCACTGTCATGGGTTTCTTCTGTATGTTATACTGGGTAAATAAACCAGACTGTCCTGTCACCACCTGCTGAATGGGAGCCGGAATCACCATGTCATCAATGTCATCATAAGTTTTCCGAGGTTTCCACTCCTTTGGTGGGATCACCTGAAAGAGGCAAAAGAAAAGTCAAAACAAATCCAAATGAAAGGTGTAGAAATGATGTTACCTTAAACAGAAGAATTATCATCACTTTCTTCACATCTGAAAATTAATTTATAAACATTTAGTAAGTGCCTACTATGCACCAGGCATTGTGTTAAGTGCTAGGGATACAAAAAAAGGTAAAAGACAGTCATTGTTCTTAAAGAGTTCACAGTCTAATGGGAGAGATAATGTACGAATAATTACATACGAACAAGTTATATACAAAATAAATTTGCTGTTTGTCCTTTGTTTTGAAGGTGGTGTCCTGAATTGGATTTAAGCGAGTCACAGTTGCACCAAAGTTGTGCAAAGTCATCGGCCTCACTCTCTCTTCCATAGCCCATGGGCAGAACAAAAGTCAAGATAACTGGTGATGGCCTGGGGTGCAGTGGATGACCTTGGTGTTCTTGATTTCTGATCAGGTTCTAAGCGTTCCACAGATCTTGCTTTATGTACCTTCATGGCCATTGGAACAAATTGTTCTCATCCACCTATTCCAGCAGGGGAAGTCTTCACATGCCCGGGGTAGACACCCCCCTGACTCACTAATGGGCCTGTAGGTTACCTTCAACTGGTTTAGCCTGTCTTGCTGAGACAATTTTACCAGAGTGGGGCCGCTCTGCACATGCTACAGCTTCTTGGAGCCACAGGTGAGATTTGGATGAAAGGTGGACATCAAAAGTGGATGTGCAGCCCTGAAAAGGGCTCTCAGCAAGAGAATAGGAAATAATTAACAGAGGAGTTGGGAAAAGTTTCCTGTAAAAAATGAGATTTTAATTGGGCCTTGAAGGAAGTCAGGGAAGCCAGGAAACAGAGATGAGGAGAAAGAGCATCCCAGACATGGGGGACAGGCAGAGAAAATCTCCTGAGTCAGGAGACTGAGTATCTTGTTCATGGAAGAGCCAGGAAGCCAGTGTCAGTGGATCAAAGAGTCCATGTAAGGCTTAAGAAGACTGGAAAAGTAGGAGAGGGCTAAGTTATGAAAGGCTTTGGATGTCAAACATTTAGTATTGAAAACAAAGCTAAAAAAAAAAAGTCAATGTATCCCATGTTAAATAACATTTTACTCCAGCTTCAGAAACTAGAAGAAAAAGAAAAATTGCTCACCAGACAACTAGAAAAATACTTGCCAATGATAACAGGTTTACTTAAAAGTACTCTAAATTAAATTCACTACAAAACAAGCATTTGTCATACACATAATATATGTAGGCCCTTTTTGTCAGGTGCCAAGGGGAAAAGTAAAGATGAATAAGACCTTGTCCTTAAGAAGCTTTTAATGCAGTAAATGGTAAAATATTATAAATGTAGGTATTACCATCATCACAAACAATTGCATGAAAATACAAAGAGCCACCATTTACCAATACTGATGACTACGTTGTCCATATAAGACTCAAAAACTATACTAAAATTGCTGAATGCTCAAAACTGGTACACCATCTTAGGATCAGGTCATCTAGTCCAATTCTCTCATTTTTCAGATGAGGAAAACTAAACCTGAGGGAGATTAAATGACTTGCTCAGTCACATAAGTAGTAAATGTCAGGCTGGATTTAAGCCCAGGTCCTCTGACTGTAAACCTCATGCTCTTGACACTATTCTATATTGCTTTTTCTTTAAGTTCAGTCTCCCTTAAGTACATTCCATGTTCTTGAAAGAGAAAAACTGATAACTAAAACTAAAAGGATTAAACACAGCATTCTGAATAAATACTTGGCATTAGCAATTATCTACTCCAATCCACTTATTTTGTAGGTGAAGAAAATGAGACCCCTAAGAAGGGAAGTGATCCGTTCACGATCATCCAGGAATAGCCAATGGCAGATTTCGAACTAAATATGGACTTTCTATGCTTCCCATGATCCCAGAGTTTTTTGGGAGTAAAGCAAGAAAGACATTTTTCTATGATTCCTGTTAATCAAAATCCCCGGGAAAACATGAACAACATACAGCCTGAACTATAAGACGATAAGATTCAAGACTATAAGATTCAGAAGTAGAAAAATCATAACTTTTCCATTACAATAACAGCTCCTTGAAAAAACATACTCACTACCTCCACTCATCTCCTCTAACTCACTTCTCAACCCTTTACAATCTGGCTTCTGACCTTATCACTTAACTGAAATTACTTTGTTTAAGTTACCCAATATTTCTTAATTGCCAATTAACAGACCTTCTCTTAATCATCACAGGAGTTTCCCATCCTTCTCCTGGGCACCACTCAGCTGAGGACCTTGTCTGTTACTTGTTGGCTCCCTCATCTCCTGTGCTCTTTATCTCAAAATCCCTTGACCTCGTCTCCTTCAGTTTCTGACAAAGAGGGAGCCTTCTTGCCAAGGCTAACCCCTTTACATGTATATTTAAATTCACCTCCTCCCCTCTTCTCCAGCAGACTGTATCCTCCAGCACCCCTCCCATTCTCAAATCTTCATCATTTCCCTATCTACTGGTTCCTTCCCAACAGTCAACACACCCAGGCTCCCTCACCCTAAAAAAAATCCTCATTAGGTCCTACTATTCCCTCAAGCTATGATTCTATGTATCTTCTCACTTTCTCATACAAACTCCTTGAAGAAGCTGTCTCTCAGTTTCCACTTCCTCTCCTCTCCCTCATTCCTCAACCCTTTACAACCATGTTTCTGAATAACGTGTTATTACTCAACCGGCACTACCATCTCCAAAGTCACTGTTCTCTGTCTCCTCTGCTGGCCAATCATCCAAACCATGCTTTCTACCTATGAATGTTACCAAAGATTCTGACCTATGTTCTCTCCTTTTCTCCCTCTAAACTCTCTACTCTATCTCAAGGTAACCTCATCAGCTCCCGTGGGTTTTACTACTGTCTCTATGGAGAGTCTCAAATCTATGTGTACAGCTCCAAATTCTCACCTAAATTTCAGCCCCACATCATCAGCTGCCCATTGGACATTTCAAACCGGATGTCCCATAGACGTCTTAAATTTAACATGTCCGAAACTGAACTCTTTGCCGTTAAAGTCTCCCCTCTCCCAAACTCCCCTATTGGTGGTGAAGGTACCACAACCCTTTCAGGCTCCTAGGTTCACAACCCTGGCATTATCCTCAACACCTCACTCTCCCTCTCTCATCCTACATGCCCAATTAGTTAACAAATCTTGCTTCAGATCATCTCCCATCTGACTCGTCCACTCATCCAGCTACCACCTTAGTTCAGTCTCTCATTACATTTTAGATTATTGTTAACAGCACGCTAATTGGTCTTCCTATCTCAAGTCTCTCACTACTCTACCTCATCCCACACTGCTGCCCAAGTAATTTTCCTTAAGTACAGTTCTGTAACTACCACTTCTGTACTCAAACAATTCCGGTGGCTTCCTTACATCTTTAAAATACAATAGAAATTCCTCTGTTTACCTTTTAAAGCCCTACAGAATCTGGCCCCAACCTGTCTTTCCAGCCTTGCTATACATAACTCCCCTTTCTATACCAGCCAAACTAGCCTCTCTCTGTTCCTTACATAGGATACTCCACCTCCCATCTCCAGAATGCATTCCCTCCTTACCATTGCTTCAGTCACTCTTTTCCTTTAAGACACAGTTCAAGCACAATCTTCTTCACAAAGCCTTTCCTGAGTCTCCTCCCCCCTCTGCCCTTCCCAGTTGCTAATGCCTGACCTCCCTCCCAAACTACCCTGCATATATTTAGTACTTTTTATTTATGCTATACATACACATATGCACCTGAATTACCCATCAGAATGTAAGCTCTTTGCAAACTGGGGTCTTTATACTTGTATCTGTAGTGCTGGGCATATCAGAGATACTCAATAAATCCCTGCTGATTAACTGGTGGATATTCTTGACCTTCCTCAAGGATTTGACACTGCTATCAATCCTCCCCTCCAGAAGACCCTCTGTAGACACTTTGCTCTCTATTAGTTTTTCCTCCTTTGCTGGACCATCTTCAATATACAACACACCCTAAATGTAGATGTATCCCATGGCACTATCCTACCTCTTTTCTCTTCTCAATTCTCTTCTCTTCTCTTCTCTCTCTCTCTCTCTGTCTCTGTCTCTCAATGATCTTACAAGCTCCTTTGGGCTTAATCATCATCATCTTTATGCAGATGACTCCCAAATTTCTATCTAGCTAGACTTAGTCTCTACCTCCAGGCTCTAACCCCAGATCACCAAGTGACTATTAGACAATTCAAACTAAATAAACTGGACACATCTCAAAGTCAAAATGGAGCTCAACTTTCACTACTCCACCTCCAACCCCACCAGCTCTCTTCTGAACCTTCCTATTTTAGTCAAGAGCACCACCATCTTTCCAGTCATTTAGGTTTACAATCTTGGTGCCTTTATGGCCTACTCATTCACCCCACATATCCAATCATGTACCAAATCTCCTCATTCCTACCAAGATAAAATCTCTTCCATATATTGCCCTCTCTCCTTTCACAGCCACCATCCTAGTTTAGAGCCTCACCATTTCCTGCCTTGACTATGCCAGTAACTACCAACTGGCCTTCCTGTCTCAAGCTTCCCCACTCCAATCCATCTTCCACACAGCTGCCAAAATGATTTTCTTAAAGTTCAGGTTTGATTATGCCACTCTCCTATTTAATGAACTCTAGTGGCTTCCTATAATATCTAGGATTGAATGTTTGGCATTTAAAGATCATTACCAGGAGGTCCAACCTACCATTCCCATTACAAATCATTCCCTTTCACTCACTCGAGAGTCCAGCCAAACTGGCATTCTGGCTGTTCCTCACATGTGACACTTCACCTCCCTATCTTCACCATGCCTTTGCACAGGTTGTTTCCCACGACTGGACATACTTCCTCCTGCCCTCCTCTTCATGGAATCAGTAATTTCCTTCAAGACTCACTCCAAATGTCAGCTGCTAGGGCCCTCCTCCATACAGACCCCTCCCTCTCAAATTTCCCTTGTATTTTCCTCATGTGTATTCTGTATATACATGGATAGGTTGGCTATTAACTCCCCCATTAGAACATAAGCTTCAGAAGAGCAAAGACTGTTTCATTTCTCTCTCCGTATTATTTCCTTCCCAATAAAAGGCACTAACAAAGGCTTGTTGACAGCTCACAATACTGTGGAGCTAGTTTATAAAGTACTTTTCTCTTCTCAACTCAAAGCTAAGCAATTATCTCCTTTTATAGATAAGGAAACAAGATTCAGACAAGTAAAAGTAATTATCCCAGGTCACAAACATAATAACTGATAGAATCAGGATTTGAACCCAGATCTTAGAACTCCAAGACCAATATTTGTTCTACTATACTTTTGCTCTCTCATTATTAATCGTACTCAGAACTGGAAGGGACCTTTAGGGTTATCTAGTCTTATTTCACTAATGAGAAGATTAGAGGCACAGGGACTTACCAAAGGTCACACAGGTGATAAATAAAATGGCAAAGCAAGAACTGAACCCCAGGTCCTCTCTTCTCCTTTATGTGCACATGTGTGTAAAGTGTGACCACAAAGCAAAGAGAAGTAGATAGGCTAACAGGAAGGGGTATGAGATGAAGACTGAAGAGGAAGTGTTGCTCTCTCCTCTTAGCAGAGGTGTTAGAATGAATATAGGTACAGAATGAAGGACAGATCTGCAGATAGTATTTCTAAGTTGTGTTTGCCCATATTTATTACAAATGAGGGTTCTGTTGGGATACAAGGGAACCACTGGAAATTAACAGCACATGATCTTGGAAAAGAGAAGGACCACATCTTCCTCAGAGATTGAACTAAAGAAGGAAAGAATGGGGAATGATGTAATTTAACATGTGGAGTAGGAAAGAAGGCACTCATATTCCATTGATTTTTGCACAAAGTCAGCTAAAGGAGGGGAAGGGGAAAAGAGTGATGCAAAGAATTACAGTGAAAAACACACTGACTCTGGGGTCAGAGGACCTGGGTTTAAATCTCACCCCTGAGACTAACTACTCTATATCCTTACACTTCAGTTGCCTCATCTATAAAGTGAGAAAGTGGAATAGGCTAGCTGGTTCCTGAGGTTCCTTCTAGTTCCATCTCTATTATGCTATCCTTAACACTCTTCTGAATTTATGTTTTTATTTGGGGCTAGGAGGAGGTGGCAGAAGAACGGACAAGTTGGTTTCTAGTTCACAAAATACTATTTACTATAGGACAAAGTACACTGGGGAAAGAGTATTGAGACAGTGGGAAAAAGAAACTCATTGTACAGTCCAAATTTACGGAATGCCTCTGCAATGATTTAAATTCTTTCCTTATGGATACTGATACCAGCCTGGACCTCAAGTTTGCTCCTCAGAGCCCTACCATGGCTGTTTACCTGACAAGGGAAGTTCAAAATTCTGCCTTTAAGGCTCATCACAATCAGGCACCAGCCTTCCTTTCCATTTCTCCATGTTTCCTCTCTACTCAGCCAAAAAAATGCTCTCTTTTCCTCCCACAACTCTTCACCTCTGCACATGCTATTCCCATCGTCTAGAAAGTCATCTCTCCCTCTCCCTGCAAAACTCCTACTTTTAAAAGGTAAGGTCCTTTAAATGCAACCACCCTGAAATATGATCCTGAGTCAGTAACAATTTCCCGCCCTCAGACTTCATAAAGGACTTTGTTTTTAGTCTAATTAACTCATTATATATGTTACCCCTGTTTTGGTCTTGTCTCCCCTCCTAGAATATAAGCTCTTTTTTTTTTTCCAAATGTAAGTTCTACTGAAGATTATGTCTTTCTAAACTGTGTATGTCTCCCAGTTATCTAGCACAGTGCTTCAAACACAGCAGAAATCTGACATTCGTTAAATAAATGAATGGCCTTTAAAAGAAAACAGAAATAAAACAGTCTAAGACAGGCCTGCACAACCTATGGCCCACAAGTTGTGAGCTGCTGGTAAAGAGGAGGAAAGTACCCGTATGGGCTTTTAGCTAACCTTAGCAAGTCCTGCTCTGTGAGCTCCTTGAGATTCAATGTAGGCCACATATTTCCCAAAGTCCTGAAACTCCTCAATAGTAGGGCGGAATGTCATGATCTTACAGCTAGGGTTTTGTGGACTTGGATTCTCGGACCCCATGATTCCAAATGGCTCAGTACCAAACCTATGAGAAAAAAAAAATGAGTTAATAAGGAAAACATCACCTTAATGTAGATTTCATCATCAAATCTTAAAAAAAAAAAAACCTTCCTAAAATTAACACAAGACTAGCAGAGAATAAGAGGCAGTCAAGCTTGTATAATGATAGAAAACACTAACACATTCATTTTTCTTAGAGAAAAAAGATACAAGACACTTAGATGACTTAAAAAAGAAGAACTAAAAATAGAAAAGTCTCCTATTTTAAACAGAAATATGGTATAAGAAAGAACAGTTTTTTAGTAGACTTTGACAGTTAAAGGCATCCTCAGAAATAAGGCTTTCATAGCCCACACTTACATTCAAGTTATTATCTTGAAATCAATAGCCTTTAGCCACTTCTTAATTGGATTTTGGCAGAAGATAGTATCACGAGCCATGGTAGAGAGGCAGATGGTCTTTTGTGTATGTCTTAATTTCTTCCTACAAATTATCCACCATAATCCATTCAGGGCACACTGGATTCTGCCAGTTCTCACAATTGTTTTCTACCTAATGGTTTGTTTATTTAACTGGTGGCTGCTGTTCTAGGGGCTCATAGCACTTCAAAAGAGCATTTGGAAAACTAATTAACCTAGGACCTAGTCAATAAACACTGGTGATTTGGTCAGGCTCAAAGTATCTCCTAATACAGTAATGGTCAACTATAAACAAGTCAGTAGATTTGAAAATGGAAGTGTCAATAGGGATATAATCTACTTCACATCAATTGTTGTAACCTCAAATCTAAGATGGCAAAAAGAGTCATGAAGTCAGAAGTCCTGGATGGATTTTATTCCTGACTTTCCCAGGGTTGACTAAGTCATCTCAGGCATGTCATTTTACCTCTGAATCTGTTCCTCAAATGTAAAAGTGGTTTCCCCTACTCCAACCCCTTCCTCACACAACTGCCAAAGTGATTTTCCTCCCCTACTCAATGAACTCCCTCAGCTCCACACTGCCTCTCTAATTAAACAGAAGCTCCTTGATTCTGCTTTTAAACCCTGGACAACCTGTTGTGAGCTTAACTTTCCAGCCTCCTCACGCAAACATACTCCCTTGCAGTTCCAGTCTAGCCAAACTAGCTACTACTTGCTATTCTTCTCTTTGCAGTGTCGATGTCCCAACATTTTAGGCCTGAGAAGCTTTCCTCTCCTCACTGAATTCCTGACTTCCTTTAAGACTTAGCTCAAGTCTCACTTTCTGTAGGAAGCCTTTTTCTGATTCCCCTCCCCCCCCCACTAATACTGCCCTATCCTTTAACTACCTTATATTATTCTGTACATACTCTGCATATACTTTTATGCATGCCATTTCCTCAAAACAGAATACATAAGTTTCTAGAGTAAACACAGCAGGTGTTTAATAAATGCTAGAGATACCATCAGCCCTGCCTACATCACAGGGCAGTCATGAAAATAAAATGAAATAACGCATCCAAAACTACCTTGGTAACACTAAAATTCTTTACAAATGTGAGGAACTAAATTATTATTATTGGCATCAAAGAAGTAGGTCTACATTTAGAGACAACATATAACTGAATTCCTCTATCTTGGAAGAATGAAGGGCTTATGTAAACACATACATAAATGCTACAAAAAGGTTTATGACTATCCAATTTTTTGTTACATCCAGATTTTCATAAGCCAGGTATTTTAGCACTAAAATAAAGATGAATTGAAAACCACCAATGAAATTGAAAAAAAAATAGCTAAGTGTTTAAAGAAAGGAAACAAGATCAACTATTGTGAGATTAAAATCTTAACTATCATTTATGCTGTATTTTAGTTGCACTGGAAAATTACTCTTTATTCAAAGCAAGACTGTTCTCTATGAAAGAAGAGGGAAAAATTCAACCCAAGCTTTATGCAAAGCAAAGGCTCCCAGCCCCCCCCCAAGTATTCTCCCTCTGAAGTCACTAGAGGGCATCACTGTTCCTTCTAGGAATACCATTGACTTTAAAAAAACAAAACAGAAACAGAAAAGATGTTTACTCAGAGAGCTTTTTCGACAGAAGCTTTGGGAGAATGGTTATGGCAAAGAGTAATTATATGTACATTTCTAGGCACTCATTTCCAAAGTAATGGCTTTCACCACAGAAAGCCTCAGAGCAGAATGGAGGTGTGTTTGGTCTAGCTAATTCTGGAGAAATGATTTGCAGATTTGCCCCTCCAATTCAATTAACATTTTTTAAAGTATTTTCAATGTGCTAGGTACAGTGCAAGAGGCTGGGACTATGATGAAAAATGTCAACCTCCAACTGCAAGTATCTTAATGTCTAAATGTGCTGATAAATAATGAGGTTTAAAAGTTTGTAAAGCTTTTTCCTCACATTAACCCCGTTAAGTGAGCGAATATATATTTCATAGATAGGAAAACAGACTCAAAACAGTGAAGTGACTTGCCCAAAGTGAGACAGTGAAATGACAATGCAGACACTAGAACCCAGATCTCCCAACTTCTGGTATGGCAAACTTAATGATACAGGGCGGAAGGGAATTCACATTTCTATAGTGCCTACTCCAGGCACTGTGCTAAGGGCCTTTTACAAATATGATTTCATTTGTAGGTACTGTGATTATCCTCATTTTTTTTTCAAAAAGTTGAATAAACTGAAGCAGAGGGTAAGTGACTTACCCAGGGTCACACAGCTAGAAAGTATCTGAGGCTAGTTTTGAACTAGTCTTCCTGACTCCAGGCCCAGGGCTCTATCAATAGAGCCACCAGTTATATATTTAAAATATATATACATACGTATACATATATACATACACAAATTACATATATTCACACATATAAATATTAATTGTATAATTTACATAAACATAGATCAACAAGTATTTATTAAGGACTTACTTTGTGACAAAAACTGCTAGGTGCTGGGCAGACAACAATAAAAAATGAAAACAAGAATCATACAGTCTTAGGACGGGGGTCAGAGTAGAGAGACAACATGTACACATGTAGGTATGTACAAAATAGTGAGAAGGTGAATTTGAAGAATGGCAGACCACTAACAGCTGGAGACAATCTTTCACCTTTTTTTTTAATAAATTTTTTTTCCTTTTCTTTTTTTAAAAATTAACTTATTTTGAATTATCAACAATAACTTCCATAAGCTTTTGAGTTTTAAATTTCTCCTCCTCCCTCCCCATCTCCTTCCCCAAGAGGGCACGCAATCTGATATAGGCTATACATATACATTCTTATTAAACATATTTTCACATTAGTCATGTTGTAAGAAGTAGAACCAATAAGAGGAACCACCAGAAAGAGGAAACAATACACAGCAAAAGAAAAAAAATAGCAAATAGTATGCTTTGATCTGCATTCAAACTCCATAGTTCTTTCTTCTTTGTGGATAGCATTTTCTATTATGAGGCCTTTGGAAATGTCTTAGATCCTTGTACTTGCTGAGAAGTTCATCAATATTAGTCATCACACAATGTGGCTGTTACTGTGTACAACATTCTCCTGCTTCTGCTCACTTCACTCAGCAGACCATACAAGTCTTTCCAGTTTTTCTGAAGTCATCCTGTTCATCATTTCTTATAGCACAATAGTTGTCCATTACATTCATATACCACAACTTGTTCAGCCATTCCCCAATTGATAGGCATCCTCTCAATTTCCAAGTCTTTGCTACCACAAAAAGAGCCGCTATAAATATTTTTGCACATGGAGACAATCTTTTTACAAGGAAGAAATATGACAAGTGAAAAGGCCAGATGGTTAAAGTGCTCCTGAGAAACTGAAGGCCTTAAAAAAAAAATAGTGAAGATCTAAGTGGCTTAGTGGACTACAAGCTCAGTATAGTCAACACTATGATAAAAAAAATGTGAGCTTAGGTCTGCAATAATTGACACAGCACCTCAGAGGCAGCAGTGGATCTTTAAGGGCTTTGAGTCAGAGCTCAAACCTCAGCGTTACCATGGAAGCCCCCAGCCCCACCTCAGTCCTCATGTACTAGCAGGTAACGTCATGGGTTCAACTGTGGATGTGTTCTGATGTTCCACACAAGCTTAGCACTCCTCTGGTGGCAAGTGGATCACCACTGAAAAGTAGGTTCAGTGCCAAGGGGCAAAACATGCCCAGCTAAGCGTGCCAACTTTTTTTTAAACCTCTCTTTGGCTTTATATCGTCTTCATTAGCAACTGACTACACTTCTTACCTTCCCCTGGCCAAACCAACCAACAAACACTGCATCTGACAGTGTATGTGGTATTTCACACCCACAGTCTTCCCCACAGGCAAAGAAGGGACAGATGTATGTTTTCTCAACTCTTCTTCAAGGACCAAGCTTCTTGGTCCTTCTAATTACACAGCCTTCACCTTTGGGTTTATTTGGCCTCTTTTCTTCTTTTCACATACCAAGCTGTACTCATTGTGTATGCTGTTTTTCTATTTTCCTTATTTTGTTTCCAGCAAGTAAACTTGTACAGAAAGAAACAGCTCACTAAAAGCTCTTTAGAAGCCATGAATTGCTTACGGTGTTCTCTGGAAGGCTAAGCAAGCTCTGGCCCCCAATACGATTTACATTAGTGGTATCAAAGTCAAATAGAAACAGAAGAGAGGGCGGGTGGCACAGTCCTGCACATAGGCATCCCTGCAGGCAACATATTGACTGTTGCAGTTTTAAAATGTAATGTTATCTATGTTGTATTCTATTTGTATTTATTTTGTCAAATATTTCCCAATTATATTTTAATCTGATATTGGGTTGCACTGGAGAGTGTTGGCCAAGAGTCTAATACCTCTGATTTACATAGTACCTCATTTCTACATCTCATTTCTACAGGACTTCAAAGTTTTTTTTTTTTTTAATCATCCTGTGAGCTGGGTAACAGGTATTATTAGTCCCATTTTAAAGATAAGGACACTGAAGCCCACAGAGCTTAACTGACTTGGCCAAAGTCACAAAGCATTTGATAGAGCTCAACCTTCAACCTGGATCAAAGCCTAGCACTCTTTCCACTACAATAT